GGATAGAAATTTGTTCCACTGCATCTACAGTTTGTTAAATAGGAATCTAAACAGAAGGTTTCATTATACTAAGAAATGTAACTTTTCTTAGCTAACTTTTGAAATGCGAAGTTATTAGCTATATAATAAGCCAGTTCCACGTAGTCCCAATAATCTACCATGTATTCAGTAATCAAGTAAAAAGTGGTTTTATTATAATTCTCATTATCACTAAGCAAACTGGTGACAGTTTTGAAATTTCATGCTATATCAGAACAATCTACACACATCATTTGTTTCGCTTACAGCCAACAGTAGCTTTCTCAGCAAAGTTGCCAATTGTCTACTGTATCTGAAAATCTTCTCTATTATTATTTAGGATAGTGAAGGTCTAAAGCCAATTGACAAGACTATAGAATTACGTCTCATGTACTTCTAGCACAGGGGTTCAGAGAAATTCAACAGCAGTTTTTAAGGCATGAACAGCAAGGCTCAACATTTCTGTTCACCTGGAAGAGACAATCATCCCAAATCAAGACAGAAAAAAGGAACTTACTAAACCTTCATGTGGGGGATCAATAATAGAATATTAACAACAAATACAAATGAAATATGATACAGTATTATGTCCAAAGCTGTTCTAACTTTACAAGAAGAAATGTTATTAGGATTAACACTATGCATATAAATCAGAATTATTTGTCATGTTAGCCTGGTGCCAATGACTGGAGTGTCATCTCTATGTGCTAGACACACTGGCCGCCAGTGATTCAATGTATAAAATTGCAAAAAAAAAAAAAAAAGGAGGGGGGCAGTAAACTGAAGAATAGAATCAATGTTAAAATTAATTCATCCACGCCCCCTTACTACCTAGATCCTGCTAGAAACAGTGGGAGTAACTAGCCCCTCTGACTGTTAGTACATACTGAAATTTCTTTCCCCCCCCCCCTTGTCTTTAACCATTGTATAACGTGGTTATACTGTAGACTAGAAACAGAATGCCTGAAAGCATGGAGGTGGTCATTATCCAGGAGCTGCTACATGAATAGGTGGTATTGCTATAACCTGTCCCTTTGGACTCTGATTTCCCAAATATGGTTATCTTCAACTGATAGCCTACAAATAGTGACAAAACTGAATCCATTATTTCCCATCAGGCTGCATGCACCTATGAATTTCAAGCCTCTCTTGGAGGACTACTTCTTTAAATATTTTCCCAACCACTGTAAGTTTCCTCTATCTTTAATATTAATAGTAGGAGGATTATAATGAGCATGAAAAACAGAATCCCAACTAAAAAATCCTACAATTCTGTAATAAGAATAGACAGAAAGATTCAGGAAGGGTATCTTCTTCTTTGCCTTAAAGGACTGGATTGCTTCAGACACTTCCCCTGCATAATCATATTACCTCAGAATCACCATTTGGTGAGATGTTAAGGACCTAGCATTGAAAATTTAAGAAACAGCAATTTGTATTCAATCATGTTGTGGCATCAGGAACCATCAACCCTTTCAATACAAAAAACTCTTCCTGCATTGCTTATGGACAGATGCAGGTAACAAAAATAAAGCCTAGGCTTGCAACTAATACATGACTAACAACCCACCATAGTATGACTCCTAAAAATGCCAAAGTTATATCAACAACTAGCTCTGTTTTGGGGCCGAAACCTGAAGCCTGGAAGCAGCAATACTGAAATTAGAAAAGGGATGTATTCTTAAGCAGCAGAACAAGCCAGGGCTTCCTCTTTGCACGCTACACTAAATAAAACAGAAGTTATTTCTACTGGCAGGAGGATCCAAATCTGAGCTTCTAAACAACATGCACCAATATCCTGGGGCCTTTTTAGTTCTCTGGACAAAGACTACTGGTTGTGTGCTACTGCTAGGTATCCGGCCATGGACTGGACAAATGACTGGGCAGATATCTCTTTGGGAACAGGCTGTTCCTCTATAAGATTTCAATGCCTCTAGGAGTCTTACACACAGTATATACATTTAATATAAAGAAAGGAAAGAGCTCTCATGGCCAATTTTATTCAGACCTAAAAATATTACAAGGATGGTAGAATCAGAGAGTCGGAACATTAGATATCAAGTCCAACTCCTTACTGAGTCCAGGAATCCAAATTAAAGCACTGAATGGATTTCTAGTTTCAATACTGATGCAAACAGATTTCCAAATAAGGATTGTACTAATCAACCAATCCAAGTAGTCTGCAAGGGCAGTGGACAGTTCAGAGGTTCCCAATTCACAGAGATCTAGAAGTAAATACTTACTTCAAGGTTACACAGCATCTTGTAAAATCCTACATTTCCATGCCAGCTTTAACACTTGTGCAAATATGTACCTTCATGCAATTCTTAGAAATTAGGTAGGTAGATGAGTGTAAGTGACTTACAAACTCTGTATATGCAAAGAAGGCTCATGTTCAAGTTAAGTTATTTAACCAATGCTACATTGCTTGACATGTAACACTGGATAAGAACTGTTCATCTTTGTACCAAATAGTATTAAATATTTTTGTTTTTCATAAAGCTTTGTTCTATAAGGGCCAGCCCACTGTCATCCCTCTGTCACAGCTTCTGTCACAGCCTCTGTATTGGTGGGGTAAGCCAATCAATAATTCACAAGGTTAAAGTTCTACTAAGTACTCAGGTCCAAATGACAAACCCCTGGACAAGAAATGGTTGTACTTTTTTCTTTCACCTCTGAAATGTTACACTTGGTCCACTTCCTCTAATCTGCTTACACTTCCCACGTATGAGATTCATATAATCTTATTTCCCTTTTTTGCATGATTCCCCTACTTTGCATTTCTATATTGTGATACTTACCCATTTTACATCACTCTTACAGGTTTCATCAGGTAGTTGCCGAATTTGAACACGTTTATTATGTGCTTATTCTATTTTTGTAACAAGTAACTTTGTCACACTATCTCCATACTTAGCTTGCTTTGTTCCTGTAATGGAGGACTGTATATTACTTTTGGTTACAGATCCTAAGTGTGTTGCTTGAGCATACAGATGTAGAAAGCATACATTACTTCAAAGTAAATTCTCTCAAGCTGTAGTAATAAAAGTCAAGGAGCATAGAGAAAAACTAAAATTAAATATAAAGATCTCCAAATGAATGGCAACAGGTACAACAACCAGCCTTAGGATTGACAATTAAGATATCAAAGCAATAAAGAGTTTCTGCCTTTTAAGATCAACTATCGACAGTAAAGGAACAAGAAGTCAAGAAGTAAGTTGCAGACTAGCATTTGGTAGAGCAGCCATGAAGGCTTTGGAAAAGTTATTCAGATGCCATGATGAGTCTATAGTTACAAAGATCAGAACAGGGCAAGCAGTGGTTTTTCCTGTGGCACTCCATGGAAGCGAAAATTGGACTTTGAAGAAGCAGGACAGGAAGAGTATTGACACTTTTGAACTTTGGTGTTGGAGATTTCTGAGAATACCATGGACAGCCAATAAAACAAACAAAAGTATCAACAAACAAATCATCCCAGAGGTTTCACTTGGGACACAAAAGACCAGGCTCAAATTATCCTACTTCGGATACATTATGCAAAGGCCTAGCTCTCTGGAGAAGGCTCTGATGCTGGGAAAGGTAGAAAGAAAGAGAAGGGGATGGACGACCAGCAGCAAGGTAGATGGACTCAGTTACAGTGGCAATGGGTGCACCATTGGAAGACCTGAAAAACCAGGTTAGGGACAGATCATCATAGAGAAAATCTACCTATGTGGTCACTAAGAGTCAACACGGACATGATGGCACATAATCCAATCAATCTAGACTGTTAGAAAATATTTGTAATTATCCCTGTTTTGCATGCTATTGAATACTCTTGATGGGTCTGTAATGATAAGAAAATTTCCTCTATAACTCTGAAGTCTAAAAAGCAGCTAACTTATTTTTCTGCCATCACATTCCCACAGCCCCCTGAGCTTCCTCTTAGCCCCAAGTGATAACCTGAATTTATAATCCTCTGCATAGGCATAATCTTTTGCTTAACAGTAACAGATGTGTCTTTGGACTCCATAAAGTGGGAATAGGCCATAAGAAGCCTCTTTCCAATGTAAGATGTGATGAACGAGATGTATCTAAATATGACTTTCTCCCTTGAAAAAATAATAGAAATATTTCAGCAGAAAACAACAAGAAATAAGGGTATTGAAATAGGAGCATTTCACCAATTCAAACAGCCTCCCACAACTTCCTCTGTTAAATACCATTACACAGTTGCTACACCACATTATGTCCTGTACCAACTAAAATTCTCTCTTCATATCCAGTTTATTCAGAACAAGAAAATTCCATTACAATCTCAATGGCTATTAACTACTACTGTAACATGGTTTTAGCCCATTAACAAGAAATACACAGCAGTTTTCCAGGAAGAGATAGAGACAAGAGATAGAAACCATCTGGAGAAAGATGTTCAGCTTTCCTGAACTATTGAAAAATTGTTAAAAAAACAAGCATTGGCTGAACAG